TAGGGAAAGGTATTATGGCCTATTATAGTAATATCTGATGTCATGAAACCTCATTATAAAATGATGCTCAGCTGGCTGTGTGGAAAGCAATGCTTTTTCCAAGTGGGAAATATTAATTGAGAAGAAAAAAAAAAAAAATATGGGCAAAGGCTTGCTCCTCTGTCATAGCATACCAGAAAGGCAATAATGTATTTCATCATACGTAGTGTCAGTAACGTCCTTCTACTATCCCTATCACAGTGCCTGCCAGACTGTGGGCTATATAGACGTACTTCTCATCTAAGGCAAAGTCAGAGGGAGAGATTTCAAAGACTTGTGTTTTAACCTTAAGTGGCAATAGGATCATACATGCCAAACAGTGCTCTGTGGCAAAAGGAGGCTGACGAGCGCAGGATGTTAGCCACTGTCTCAGGATTGCTAGACTGCTTGCATCTGTGCTATACAAAGCTGGGATCTGTAGTCATACAATGAATTTAATTTATGCTGAACTAAGCCAGAATTGCAACTTGCCTCAGATTAGTGCAGAATGGATGGGAGATATCTATTAATACTCAGACTATCATTTACTATGAAGGTATAATTAAAACAAATTATTTTTTGCAGGGTTCTGGATTCCAGAGTCAAAACAAAAGTAACGGTTAATTAAAAGCAATAATAATAGTTCAGGCCCACAAACCTTCATTATTTTGTTTATTGAAAGCAGGTTGGATCCAATCATCCAAACAGGCACTTCTGTGTGTTTGCTTTCGGAAAAACAGGACATCTTAACTCAAAAGTCTCAGATATAACTCACCCAATGAACCCGAGATTACTACTTAATTTAAGAGTGACCATAAAATGAAACCGACACGTTACTCAAACCCACAGCACTGACGGTAGGATTTCCACAGTCTGAACTTCACCTGAAGTCTTCAGACTGCAGGGGCAGCAGACTTTCCCTGCACAGAAGATGTTATGATCCTGTTTAACCAACTCAAACTTATCCTGGATTTAAATTAAAATATAAACATAAAATAAAAAGAACCATAAAATAAAAAGAACCATAAAATAAAAAGAAAAAGGAAACAGGCTGAAACAGGAGAGGGAGAGAAGGTTATCTACATTTTCATGAAAGTAATCTTCTAGATACACTGTGGACTAAACACCAGCTGAGACAGCACTATAATGACAGCTATAGAAAAGGTAACAGCTCTGAATGAGACAGAATCAGAAGCAGATTTTATTGTACAGATACTGTTACTCTGTTCCAGGATGATGCAGATAACGTATCTTTATGAAGAAAGATAGATTTTTTTAATTGTTTTTTTTTTTTTTTTCTCCCAAAATGGCAAGTCTGGCTATTGGAAGTTATCTGCAGGAGATATCCGTGTTATTTCTTCTGGTGTGATGACATTTAGCTCCAAGCCTATAGTGGATCACACTGGTTTCCAGTGGGTGCATTAAGGTACCCAATTCCACAGCAGAGTAAGACTCTCCTGTCCCTCCCCATAGCAGGGGGGTTGGACTAAATGGCCTTTAGAAGTCCCTTCCAAGCCAAACCATTCTATGATTCTATGACAGAGTTAAGCCACTTATCCACCTATTTAGTATCAGAAGTGCATTAGTTTATAGACAAATTTGCAAATGAACCAATATCTGTTATTCACTTAAATCTATCAGTTATTTCCTTACTGGTGAGCAAAGAAAGCTGAAATGAAACTAAGAAATGAAACGCAGTACCACCACCACAGGAAAACAAACGGTACAGTGGCATATCTAAGCAAGGTTAAGATACCTCCAGAACTACAGTAATTTAAAATGAGTCATACTGTGCATGAAGCATGCAATTGAAAGGCAGTTTTCAATACAACACATTAATGAATGAGACTTCCTAAAAGGATTTTTAATATACGAGAAAGGGAATCTGAAATTTTTGGAGGAGTACTGAGTAACACAAAATGGCATACTTGTGCAATTTTTTTCATCTTCCACTGAATTAAGGGAAGGTAACATCTATATGCATTGCTTCTGTCTGTGACAACACATATTAAACCACTCAGAGTACCTCAATATTGTCGTATATCATCAAGTCATTTTACTTACAAATCTTCAGCAAGAGCAACATAAACAAGAAGAGTAAAAATCCTTCTAAACCCCCTGGATTTTTACACTGCGTCTTAAATACCTATCACTCCTTATGACCCAGTAAAAAGGACACATCCTAATTATCAAGGTCTTTTGAAAGTCTTTTGTTGTTATTGCTTCTTGTCAGAGAAGACGGAAAGTTAGGTCTGCCTGTTAGGTCTTCCCCGAAAGCCACAAGCTGTCCTTCCCGCACTCCTTCCATCCCTCTCTCCTGCATGCTATGCAGATCCATCCACGTCTGGCTTCCAGAGCAACTGACTGACTGAAAATAGTAGTGTGGCATTTTCCCATATGCCTAAGTCTCAGTTTCAAAATGAACTTAAACTTTAAAGCAATTTCTCTTTTTTTCATTTCTAGTACTCTTTTTTTTTTTTTTTTTTTTTAAACGAAAAAAGCAGTTCTGTTCATAGGCAGAATATGAAGCATAACCAAGAAATGAAGCCAATAGGGAAACAAAGTCAGGCAGGATATCAGGGTACCAATAGAACAGGTATTTTCTGCCTTTCTAAATTAAATCTTTAATAATTAGCGCACACTGATACAATACCGTTGCCAAAGCAGAAGCTTCTTAGAAAAACAGTGCCAAACACCTCCCTCTCTTATGTTTGAACAGGGCCTGAAAGAAGGATTTTCTTTAAAACAGTATGATTATATTATCACAGTATATTTGCATCTGGTGGTGTTTTCTTTGACTTCACACACTTGAGACAGAAATATAATAGTTCATTTTTATGAACTGAAGTCAATGATGTAATTTTTAAATTACACATTTCCTAAACGGCAATAACCTATTAACCCATACATGTCTCCAAGTGCTACTGAAACACTGCCCCAATAAAAATGTTATGATAAGAACCTACTAAGGACTGCCTCATTTTTTTCTCTTGGCTTTAAATGTAGGTATTTTTTATTTGTGGCACAATAGTCAATCACTTGGGGAGTGAGGGGAATACTCTCCGCAAAGCTTTTTGCCAGGAACTCAGGTTATAGTAGGCAATTTATTGCCTACCGTGAAAAAGGCAGGTTACTAGGGGGGACGCCAACAAGTAAAGACGCTACTGTTTATTTTAAAAATCAAATGCATAGCAACTTTCCTTCAAGAGGAACAAAACAAGCATGTAAACTTTACTTTTTCTAAAAAATATGTAAACTCTACTCCTATTTAAGCACACGTACAGCACAATCTGGTGTCCAGTCAACAGCACCCCTTCTATTAAAATTTCAGCGTGTATTGGATCATGCCATTAAAAATTACTCAGTCAGGCAAGACTGCTGTGGACATAAGCAACCAAAAATGTCCCAATGAAAAAGGCAGCCCTAACACTGGCCCCACTTTTAGCAACACAATAGCCAAATATTGAGGGGGGGGGATTATATTTATGATAGCAACCCCAGATACAAGGCACTTGTGATAATTTGCACGGTTCAGCCTAGATTTTAGCTTCTCCCACAACTAAGAACAAACTTTTAGAATGTTTTGTTCGTTTGTTTTGGGGTTGGTTGGTTTGTGGCAAGTAGTGAGTTTCCTATCCTGACAAAGTTCTCTATTTGCCTACCTCTCCTCTGGCTCATTCCTCATGGATTCCAAGAGGGAATTAATCGGTCGGTGTTTAACACTTCCACAATGCTTCGTGCAATGCAATTACAAATTCAAAAACTCAGTTACACAGCAGGTTATACAGCACAATGAAAACCACATGCTGGGAAGAAAATCTTACATCTTTCCTTAATAACTTCTACTCTACTGTTTAAATTACACTAAAGAAATTTACCTTTTAAATATTTGCAAGCTTCAAGGGACAGGAAAAAAAATAAAAAAAAAAAAAAAATGACATGTTTACTGGTCACCCATTTATAAAACGTTCCTGCATCTACGTTAGCTTTTAAAAA